CCACGTTCATTTAAAAAAAAATAATGGGATAATAGACACGAAATGTATTTATACCAACGTCTTAAAGGGATAGCTAGACTCTATGATTTACTGCATACAACTGTACTTACTGTAAATAATAATCGTCTATACTCACTATGTAGGTCACCAGATACCCAAATTTAATTGTTAATAATTAATACACATCAACGCTTCGAAATTTGAACGGCCGCGCCATGAACAGGCCGCGACCTTTTGTTTAGCTGTCCACCACTGAAAAAGTTGCGTATTTCGCCAATTTATATTATGCTACGTTACAGACGACAGCTACATCACAAAGTGCAATTCATATTCATACCTAAAAAGCTATTTAACCGAGACAGTGTTCATGATTTAGACCAATATTATCACATAAATAACTGGAAACTATATGTCGTGTTCAGTAGAGTATATAACAATGTTTCTTGCTATTATTAAATTATAATATAAGAAACAACCCTCTTTTGTCTGTCTCGATGGACCCTTGGCTTGAAAAGGTGGTTTTCGCAGCCAGCAAGGCTTATCAGAATGCATGTGACACACTTTGAATGGGTAAAATCTGATGTTAAATATCACCCCCGTCGTTGTAAATTCAAACTTCGCTCGCGTAAGTAACGGTTAGTTTTAAAACCATGACTGCAGCGGAGAGCATGACACGGCCAATATGTTTTACATAATATCTCTAATGGTCGAACGATCTGAACCCAGTGAAGAATTCCCAGACGTATTGCTAAACGCTTATATGGTCGCAGAATTGGCTCTCGCTGGTCCGTCTATATATATAAGTGTCAGTGTGCACAGTGCAGCCGCGTGAGCAATGGCGGGAGCCAGTGTTTGTTGCAGATGAGCATTTTTGTCGACGGAATTTGCAGAAAACTGTCGGCAATAATAGGTGAAAAAGATTATAGAAACATTAAGAATTTGGTAGTAAATATATTTCGTATTTATTTAGCATTATATTTTGGCAGTGGCTACGCCTACGGCTACGGTAGCCGTATCTTAATGTCTCGAGGCTACGGGTACGGAGTTCATTCGCTTTCATACTTAACGAGACAAAGATGGCGGCAGTGGTGCCAGATTTCGAAATAACGCATTGGGAAATAAATTCACGATTTGAGAGTTTAGATGAGCTAGAACCCTAACCCTAACCCTAAACCTAACCCTAACCATAACCCTAAACCTAACCCTAACGCCAAAAAGGGGCTTCAACGACCGACGGCTACCGTACCCGTAGCCACTGCGTTATATTTTATTGAAACGCTTTAAGCGCCTGTGCCTGTGATGGATTATAGGTAATACTAATAGTAATACCATGCATTACTGCTGTCACGAAACAGGCATTCACGCCAATGCGCATATACTATAATATAGCTATAATATACTATAATATATTCTATCTCAAGCAATAGAGGGCCCAATGGGTTCAAGGATAGAGAACATGGGTCCCAATAAAACCATTTCATTTACATCAATATAAATATAATATTATATCAATATAATAGGTTAGGGTTATGGTTAAGGTTAGGGTTAGGGTTAGGATTAGGGTTAGGGTTAGGGTTAGGGTTATGGTTAAGGTTAGGGTTAGGGTTAGGATTAGGGTTAGAATAAGGGTTAGGGTTAGGGTTAGACACATTGGTTTTATTGGGACCCATGTTCTCTATCCTTGGGCCGCACAATGATAGGTTATACCATACCAGTGTTAGAAAGTTAGTGGCTATATATTTCAGGCTATGTATATATGTACACTCTAGTAGCATCGATAGCGATAACCCGACCAGGCTGTGTGACTAACGTCAATACACCGTATTCTAACCCTAGCAATACCGTTTCTTGGAGCTACGATAACGATAACGATATATCATATAGGCCCTACGATAACGATAATAAAGTAGGTCCGCTAAACCAAACATCCTGTTTACTGTTTAGCAAAGCTACGGTGAGTGTTTTGTTTACCGCTGCCGCTGGCATTCATGGTGTACAGTTTTCAGATGTAGCAGTTTCCAGCCTAATGGATAAGTAACATAATTCTAGGCAGAAGTATGTTAGCATGAAACTAGTCGAGGAAATTAGCAGCACATCCTCCTCTCGACGACCATTGCTACAATTTTACCGAGAGATGGCGCTTGTGCCATACGCTTGCACATGTGTTGCAGCGGGGTGTGGGAGCAGTATAGTTTGTGCTATAGCCCTGTGCCAGAGTGAAGGGCTATAGTTCTAGAGCTAGGGCCACAGGCACTTGGAACGTCTCAATTAAAAAAAATAATGGTAAATAAACACGAAATGTATTTACTACCAACGTCTTAAAGGGATAGTAGACTCTAGGATTTTACTGCATACAACTGTACTTACTGTATAACAAATCGTCTATACTCACTATGTATTTGTCACCAGATACCCAATTTAATTGTTATAATTAATTACACATCAACGCTTCGAAATTTGAACGGCGCCATGACACCCGCGACCGTGCTGCCACCCTGAAAAAGTTGCGTATTTGCCAATTTATATTGCACGTTACAGACCGAGAGCTAATCACAAAGGTGCAATTATATTCATACCTAAAAGCTATTTAACCGAACGATGTTCATTTTAGGACAAATTTATCCATAATATAACTGAAACTATATGTCGTTTATAAGATATTACAATGTTTTTGCTTTTAAATTAATAAATAAGAAACACCCTCAGTCTGTAGCCCTTGGCTGAAAAGTGGTTTTCGCAACTTATCAGACCATGCACTTTGAGTGGCGCCACCGTCGTTGTAATCAAACTGTAGTCGTTAGTTTTAAAACATTGTTTAATAATATTTCTAATGGTGATTGAACCATGAAACTTTTTATGTAGCGTAATTTTAACCTAAATTAACTGAAAATAACCCTAGAACCTAGAGTAAACGATCCCTTTAATGTTTCTCTACTCTATTTCGCCTATTATTGCCGATAATTATCCGTAAATGCCGGTCAAATGCTCATCTGCAACACACAAGTACACCGCACGCTCGCCCTGTGCAAAAACAACATGAATAAGAAAATGTCAAACTCTCTTATTCATTACCTCCGCCCAACGGAGTTGGAGGAGGTTATGTGATCGCTCTCGTGCGTTAGTGTGTTCGTGTGTTAGTATTTTCGCGCGATCGATATTAGCGCGTCGAGTCAGCGAGCCAGCCAGCGAGCGCAGCAAGCCAGCTCGTAACACATACATATTACATGTCGGCGGAGGTATGCACTCTCCGTGAGTGCCCTGTCTAGTGTTGTTTGTGCACAGGTCGGGCGTGCGGTGTACTTGTGTGTTGCAGAGAAGCATTTGACCGGCATTTACGGGTAATTATCGGCGAAATAGAGTAGAGAAACATTAAGACTTTGGAAGTAAATACATTTCATGTTTACATTTTTTTTTTTTGACATTCCAAGTGCTTGTGGCTAGCACAAGCACTTGAAGCGTTTCAATAAAATATAATGCTAAATAAATATGAAATCTATTTACTACCAAATTCTTAATGTTTCTATACCGGTACTCTCTTTTACCTATTATTGCCGACAGCTTCCTGTAAATTCCGTCCAAATGCTCATCTGCAACAAACACTGGCTCCCGCCATTGCTCACGCGGCTGCACTGTGCACACTGACACTTATATATATAGACTTATATATAAGTGTCAGTGTGCACAGTGCAGCCGCGTGAGCAATGGCGGCAGCCAGTGTTTGTTGTAGATGAGCATTTGGACGGCATTTACAGGAAACTGTCGGCAATAATACTAGGTGAAAGAGAGTACCGGTATAGAAACATTAAGAATTTGGTAGTAAAGAGATTTCGTATTTATTTAGCATTATATTTTATTAAAACGCTTCAAGTG